GCTGCCCGAGCTCCCTCCCGACGCCCGGGCCCGTCTCCCCGACTACCCGCAGGTGAGATGCGCCCCTACTTGGGACTCCTTCTCTACCCTTCACCCTGGGCCGACCCCTTCTGCACCCCGAGTCCCTGAAAGCACCCCTTCTTTGTCCAGGACATGGGGGGCACCCTTGCTCACCTTGTACCCCCCGCGAGATCCCATCTGCATCCGGTACCCTAGGGCGGGGCCCTTTCTCTATCGCGGACCCCGAGGGGCACTTCGAACCTTTGAGGGGACCCTCACTTTCCCCCTAACTCCCGGAGAACCTAGGTTTCCTCCTGGACCCCTGGGGTGTCCCCCCCCCCCAGACCTCCCTGTTCCCAGCCACCTGGAGGGATCACACTTATTTTCGGTCTTGAGGCTGGTGGGTGCTGTCCTTGCAGACCCCACGGATTGGGGCCGGTTGAGCCCCCAAGTTGAGGTGTGCGTGGATGTTGGGGTGCTCTTTTGGAGAAGGGGGAAGGGGCTGCGCAGACGCGGTGGGGCACTTTTCAGGGGGCTGCGGAGCGGTTGGGGGACCCTCCACTCACTTTCTGCCTTTCCTCCTCAGGATGTGGGCGTGTTCGCGCAGCTGGTGGCCCGAGATGGTGAGTGTCCTGCGCCATCCCTCTGCCCCCCCGCACCGCCCCCCCTCCCCACCGGGAGGGGACACTAAGTGGGAGGGTCCCGGGAGCCGGAGGCCTCCTTCTGACTAAATCGGACCCTCGACGCCTTCCCTCTGAAAGCTGTCTTCTCCCCTCTATGAATCTCACCTGTCTCTCTGCGCTCCCGCTGCCCCTCAGCTGACTTCCATCTGCCCACGAAAACCCACCCGCTCAGGCCTAGGGCGGGATCCCCAAATCCCGTCCTGCTCTGGTCTCTCCCGCTGGCCTCTGGGAACTTCACCCTCTCCTTCCCACTCGCTTCCCTCCTCCCTTCCAGAGACCACCCTCCCCTGCCCCTTTTAGACTCTCCTCCCAATCTCTAATTTCTTCTCTACACCCTTCCTGAGACCCCGCCCACTTTCCCTCCCCCTCCTCCTTCTGAGTCCCCTCCTTCATGCTGTCCCATTCCCCTCACCTCCCTCTCTAACCCCCTTCCTTCACCCCCTCCCCACCCCCAGTCCCTAGCCCTACTCCCCGCTTCCCATCCCCTTTTGCATCGCATGTCCTCCTGCAGGTTCCTGTTCCTGGAAGTTTCTCACCTTCCACCCCGACCCCGCTCCGTGTCCCCCCTCCCCCTCTCTCTTCCTGACAGCCTCCCCCCTTCTTTCTGTCCCTTCCTCCCGCCATCCTCCAGCCCTTCCTCCCTCTGAGAACCCTTCTGTCCGCAGAGCCCCTCCACCCCTGCCCCAGGCTGTGCCCCTGCCACATCCTTGCTCAGGATAACCCCTCCCCCTCCCTCCTCTTGCAGCACTGCTGACAGAAGGGCTCCTGCATTGGCACAGTGACCCTGGCTTGAAGGGTGTGTTCCTGGCACCGGGCCTGAGGTACGATGAGCACACACAGGAGCTGGTGGTGTCGGAGGCCGGCATCTACTATGTGTTTTTGCACCTGGAACTGCAACGTGTGGTGGCCAGAGCTGGCTCTGGCTCCGTCTCCATTGCCTTGCACCTGCAGCCGCTGGGCAGAGGGGCTGAAGCTCTGGCCCTGACCTTGGACCTGCCATCTCCATCCTCTGAAGCTCCGGACTCAGCAGCTGGTTTCCGGGGTGGCCTGCTGCACCTGCGCGCTGGCCAGCGCCTGGGTGTCCATCTCAGGGCTGCGGCTGGGGTGCACCCCGCCTGGCAGCTTGCACAAGGTGCCACGGTCTTGGGCCTCTACCGAGTGGCCACCAAGGTCCCTGCTGGACAGCCTTCATGAGGCAGGCGGGGTTGCCACCCCCTGCAGGGAGACTAAATCCTGCCTTTCTTCTGTGGGGCCTCTGGTGATGAGCCCTGGCTTCTCTACCTCACTGGGCAGGGCAGGGGTTCTGGCTGCTGACCCCCTCCTCAAGGACTCTCCTGGTCCCTCTATCACTCCTGCCCCGAGTCAAACCCTTGGTATTTATTATGAGCCTGAGCTCAGACAGTGGACTTTATATTTATCTGTTTAACTTATATTTATTGAGCGCCCAGGCCAGTACTGTGGAGCAGGGCTGAAGAAACAGACCAAAACAACCAACAGCAAGCAAAACAGACCTCAAAAAATCCTTACTTATGTTAATAAGTGAGAAATAAAGACTCACTCCGAGCCTCCCCCTTTGGGATTTTGTGGGGTAGCTTTAGGGGGTCTGCAGAATTTTTTGTTGTGTGAGTTTCATTCATGCAACTTGTCTTTTGGCCATCTACTATGTGTCAGGCACTGTTTTAGGTGTTGAGGACACAACAATGAGCAAAACAGACCCAAACTCCAGCTTTTGCCAAGCTGACCTCTTATAGGGTGGTTTGTCACTATGACTGTGATTGTCTGTGACCTGGTGTGCCTGGGCCAGGGGACAGTGTGAATGGTGGATGGTACTGGGTAATAAAATGTTTATAAATGTAATGATGACTGTATTGAGCTTTTACTGTACACCAGACAGTGTTATCTGAGACTCATAACTACTGTATGCTTTAGGGGTTTTATTATTTCCATTCTACTATTATGTATGCTCTTAAAGTTATTTTCCTCTATGGTAAGTGGGTGGTGGAAATACTTAGAATACAGTTCTGCAGGAAGTCACTTGCCAGCTCTGTTCAGTACTCCACGCCAGTAACTTAAAATCAGCCACGGGAATCAGCAAATGCTACAAGCCAGGGCTTGATTTATTGTCTGCTGGTCAGCTAGACTTCAAGTGACAGAGGAACTGATGTTAAACAAGTAGATTAGACTTAAAAGTGTGTCTTGGCTCTACCTGTTATGTTGTGAATATCAAGGAAGTCTTCATCTAGTGTTTTCAAATCGTTATCTGATTTTGTAAAGAAGTTGCTCATGTTTTCACAAGCAAGTGAAGTGTGGACATACATCTTTGGCCCGTTTTATCTTAGTATTTTTTTTAAAAAAAATTGATTTCAAAGAGGAAGGGAGAGGAAAAGAGAGAGAGAGAAACATCAATGATGAGAGAATCATTGATTGGCTGCCTCTTGCACGCCCCCCACTGGGAATTGAGCCGGCAACCGGGCATCGAACCTGGGACCCTTTAGTCCACAGGCCAGCGCTCTATCCACTGAGCCAAACTGGCTAGGGCTTACCTTAGCCTTTAAAAGGAAAATACAATCTACATCACTTGTTTGTCATTTGCACGCAGGGTTGACTATTGGTACAAGAGTGGGAAAAATTAAGGCATTCTGCAGAGAATCAACTGACTAAATAGAATTTGCAATGAAGAGTATTCTCTATTTTATTCATAAATGGCATCCTACACAATAATTTATGCCTACAAAATTTATAATAGACACACAATTTCATTCCCTCCCATAGTCAACCCTGCGTGCAAGTGACAAACAAGTGATGTCAATTTATTTTCCTTTTAAAGACTAAGATAAGCCCAGGCCTGTTTGGCTCAGTGGATAGAGCATCAGCTTGTAGGTTCAATTCTGGTCAAGGGCACATGCCCGGGTTGGGGGCTCGATCCCAGGTAGGGGGTGTGCAGGAGGCAGCCAATCAATGATTTTCTATCATCATTGATGTTTCTAGCTCTCTTTTCCTCTCCCTTCCTCTCTGAAATCAATTAAAAAAAAGACTAAGATAAAATGGACCAAAGATCTATGTCCACATTTCACTTGCTTGTGAAAACATGAGCAACGTCTTTACAAAAGCAGATAATGGGTTGAAAACACAGCACCAGCATGCTGTTCCTCTCTCCAGACCTAGTCAGTTCTCCCTGCACCATAATTTTGTCACCATGCACAACCCATTACTCCTAGTTCCCATTCCTGGATACTTCCTTTGGACCCCTAGGACGGCCCTTGTGACCAAACATCCAAAACCTTAACCCTTGGTGTATCCCTAAAATTCGTGGGGAAAGGTTGTCCCCAGAATTCTTGGTCCAGGGACCACAGTCAAATCTGATTGGTCAGCGTCTGGCTACACTGGTTGTTGCCTATTGAATAACACCCTTGGCACCAGGTGATGCCTTCCCTTGGCACAGCTGATTGGGTGGACTCATGACGCAAGCTGGGCCAATTTCCACAGAGTGGGCGGGCTTGACCTCACAGGCAGTGTTAGTCAGGAAATCGCACCTCTACAGGAGAGAGAAGCATGAAAGGGCCCATTTGCAGAGAGAGAGAGGAGAGGAGGATGCATAGGAATTCACAAGTGAGACCACAGAACCCTGGAGAGACAGAGGAGGGACTTAGGTTTTCTACTTGCCCCTTCCTGGTGACATGGGAAGCCCTATGCCTATTGGAAAACCCTATGACAGGGCGGGACAAAAGTAGGTTTACAGTTGTGAGTACACAAAACACAGGCTTTATTCTTATATTATTATTTATTAAATATTGTATTATTTTTCCATATAAATGATTGTCAGCCTACTTTTGCCCCACCCTGCAGTTTCTGAGGGCCACAAACTGGGTGGCTTAAAACAACAGACATGTACTGTCCCCCAGTTCTGGAGACCAGAAATCCAAAATCAAGGTGGCAGCAGGGCCATACTTCCTCCGAAGGCTTTAAGGAAGACTCCTTACCTGCTTCTTCCCGCTCCCAGGAGC